AGCGAGTTGGGAATGCTCAAGCTGGTTTCCGCTCAATTATATGGCCCTCGTGTTGTACTGATTTGATATCACGCGTCTTGCCTTCTGCTGGCCGCAGCCTCCTACTGACCATCTATCTGCCATCTCTGCTCCTAGGTGGTCCAAGCTAACAGGCGTATCTTAGAGAGGAGAGGATCTTTCACTTGTTCTATCGTGTTTCCTGTCTTTTCTAGAGGTCTTTACGGTAGTCCGTCTACATCTTCTGAAAACTTTGATCATTCCATGTTTCCCACCTCACCAGGTAATTTGGTAGACACATGGATTTTTTTTTTTTTTTATTTGTTTGTCAGGAACTTAACATCATGCGCTTGTTCAGTTTTATTTAGTTTGCTATTTGATTCGGTACAACTCAGGTGTCCACCTGTGTTTTGTGTTTTGTTCTACCAGTCGTCTCTGTTTATCTCGCGGCTGTGCGTTTGTTTGTTTCTGTTGTTTTTTGTTGAGACAGAGTGGGAGTGACCCACTGTGTTGGCGCTGCAAGCGTGTGGAGGTGCAGTGCATTTGGTTGTTCTGTTTTGCAAGGTCTGGCTCACTGTGCGAGTACCTCTGGCTCCCAGGTTCCAACAGTGATTCTCCTGGCCTCGAGCCTCCTGAGCTAGCTGGGACCTACATGCGTTGTCAGCTGCATCATCTATCACTCGCCTAGCCTAGAGTTTGTTGGGTATTTTGTATAGAATGACATTGCGGGGCGGTTTGCAGACCATTCTTTGGCTCATGGGGTGCTGTGCATCAATGACTCCTGAAGTCCAGGTTGATCTGCCGCCACCTTGGTGCCTCTACTCAATTTATGTTCTGCTGGGATGTTACAGGAGGTTCGATGCCACAGATGTCCTTGGGCCCTCTATTTTTTTTTTTTTTTTTTTTGAGTACAATAGTCTTCTGGCCCAGGCTGGGAGATGCCAGTGCAATGAGTTCGGTTTTGTTGCCAGCTGTCGAGCCTCCAGCCGCTCCTACGGCTCGAAGTGACTTCCTCCAACTCTTTGCTTGTGGGTGGATCGTTCAGTCCATCTCTGAGTCGAAATGGTTTTTACTGGAATTGCCCATGGCATTCAGGTTTGCCCACCGGGTTTTTTTACATGCCTCGTTTTTTTTATGCTTTATCTTTTTATTTGTTTTTTTTTTTTGTGTATGTATGTAGTAGGGTCCTAACTATGTTGCCTGGGCCCTGGTCACTCCAAACGAGTCCCAGATGTCCTGGGACTATAGCCTTCTTGCTGTAGAGTTCCAGTGGGTACTATCTTTTTTTTTTTTTTGTAGAGTATGGGGCTCCTACAATAGTACTCAGGAGGCTGAGGCAGGAGAATCACTTGAACCTGGGAGGCAGAGGTTGCAGTGAGCCAAGATTGTGCCACTGCACTCCAGCCTGGGCAACACAGTGGGACTCTGTCTCAAAAAAAAAAACAAAAACAAAAGACAGCCAGGGAGTGCAGGACGCTGTGGGTGTGGACACCTGAGGGTTGTGGTAACTGAGCGATGATAGTGTAGTCATTGTGTCTAGATTCCCTGTGGGTGGGGAACATGGAGTCAAGTTTCAGGGCAGATGTGGGACCTACCTGTAAGACTCTAGGGGCAGGAAGTAGAGTGCAGAGCCTCCCTCTAGTAGCCTGTTAGGCTTGGAACTGGAGAGGATGGAGCATAGATGTCAGTAGGAGGCTGGGGCAGGGCAGAGGTGATATCAGTACACAGAGGCCATTATTGAGGGTAACAGCTTGGATTCCAATCCTCATTTCTTCACTTTCTTGCTGTGTGACCTGGGGCATGGCCCCTCCCTTCTCTGCCTCATTTTTTTTTTTTTTTTCTTTTCCTTTTCTTAATTTTTAGTTTTTTTAAAAAACAGAGATGAGGTGTCTGTTGCCCAGATTGGTCTCGAACTCCTGGGCTCAAGTGATCCATCTCGGCCTTCCAAAGTGTTGGGATTACAGGTGTGAACCACCATGCCCAGCCTGTGCTTCATTTTAAAATGACACTTATTTCACAGAGTTGGATTAAATGAGCTAATACCTAGAAAGCACTTTACACTGTACTGGGTGAAGGGGTGGCCTGCCCCTCCACACCTGTGGGCGTTTCTCGTGAGAGACTTGAGAAAAGAAATGAGATACAGAGACAAAGTATAGAGAAGGAAAAAGTGGGCCCAGGGGACCGGCGCTCAGCATACAGGCGGCACTGGTCTCTGAGTTCCCTCAATATTTATTGATCATTATCTTTACCATCTTAGAAAAAGGGAAGTGGCAGGATAATAGGATCATATAGGGAGAAGGTCAGCAGTGAGACATATGAATAAAGATCTCTGTGACATAAGTTTAAGGAAAAGTGCTGTGCCTTGATATGCATATGCAAACATCTCCGTAAACCTTTTTAGTGTATAAAGAGCAGCATTGCGCTAGCAAGTCCCACCTTCAGCCCTAAGGCGGTTTTCTCCTTTCTCAGTAAACAGAACATACAATCGGGTTTTACACCGAGATGTTCCATTGCCCAGCGACAGGCAGGAGACAGATGCTTTTCTCTATCTCAACTGCCAACAACCGCCAAGAGACCTTCTTTCCTCTTGTACTAGTCCTCCTCAGCACAGACCCTTCACGGGTGTCAGGCTGGGGGACGCTCAGGTCTTTCCCTTCCCACGAGGCCTTATTTCAGACTATCACATGGGGAGAAACCTTGGACAATACCTAGCTTTCCTAGGAAGAGGTCCCTGTGACTTTCCACAGTGTATGTGTCCCTGGGTACTTGAGATTAAGAGAATGGTGATGACTTTTAACCAGCAAGCTGCCTTCAGGCACTTGTTAAACAAAGCACACCCTGCATAGCCCAAAATCCGTTAAACCTTGAGTCACCACAGCACATATCTCTTGCAAGGACAGGGTTAGGGGTAGGGTCACAGATTAACAGCATCTCAAATACAGAACCAAATGGAGTCTCTTATGTCTACTTCTTTCTATATAAACACAGTAACAGGCTGATCTCTTTTCCCCACAGCTGGGCACACAGTAAATACTTAGTGAAGTACCAGCTGCTATTATTGTCATCCCATATATTTGTGTAATGTTATTATGCTAAAAACCAGTCTCCTTCCTTCCCTACCCCTAAACCTCCCCATCTCCTCCTCCAGGTGCCTTCAAATCTCTTGACAAAGATGGCACTGGACAAATCCAGGTGAACATCCAGGAGGTAAGAACCCCCATCTTGGGGTATGGGTGCCTAGGGGGACCCTACCCCTTGGCCCTTCATACCAGCTCTGAGCTGCAGTCCCCTCCCTCCTATTTTGCCAGCAGTCCCTGGGTGAGGGCAGAGGGGCTGGTGCTCTGGGGTTCCCTGTCCTCACTCTCCACCCTCCTCTCCCCAGTGGCTGCAGCTGACTATGTATTCCTGAACTGGAGCCCCAGACCCACCCCCTCACCGCCTCGCTATAGGAGTCACCTGGAGCCTCGGTCTCTCCCAGGGCCCATCCTGTCTGCAGTCACATCTTTGTGGGGCCTGCTGACCCACAGCTTTTGTTCTCCCAGCACTTGTTACCCAGCTTCTCAACATCCAGGGCCCAATATGCCTGCCTGGAGTTTCCCTTGGCTCTAGAACACTCTAACAAGCTCTGTCCAAGGGTCTCCCCACTCCCACCAGGCCCTGCACACACACGTTCCGTAACCTCTCCCCTGTATTGGTGCCAAGCCTACCATTTGTGATGCCTCCATACCCAGAGGGCCCTCTCTCAGTTCTGGGAGGATGACTCCAGTCCCTGCACACCCTGGCACACCCTTCATAGTTGCCACCCAGGCGGCCAAGCTCCAGACCGTGCCAGACCCAGGCGCCCCAGTGCCTTTGTCTATATTCTGCTCCCAGACTGCCAGGCCCAGGAGGAAATAAACGCACCCTGGTTGCTGATCTCTATGCCATCTGCCTCCTGATCTGATCTGAGAGAGGAGGGAGGAGCTTGGGCTCTGGGTCCTGGGGAACTGGGGAGGTCGTAGATTCATCCCCAGGGCTGGATCTGTGGATCTCCTTGTCTTTTTTCTCATCTGTATTTTTTTTCTCATCCTGAGCTGTGGAGGCTGAGACAGGACCCAGAAGGCCCCGTGATCTCTGCTTCTGCTTCCAGAGTCCGGGCTGGAGGGAGGCCTTAATACCACTCCTGGCCCTGTCTCCCAAGGCCATGTTTGCCCCTCTTGCAGCTTCTCCATCCACAACAGAGGCCTCTGCCTCTGTTGTGTCATGGACCATGGTCAGTGTCTTCCTTCCCACTTGAGGACACCACCCCATGTCCGCGGGTCCCGAGGGGCAGCCTATGGGTGCTGTCTGGGGTACCCAGCAGAGGGCCCAGAGGCAGCGACATCCTAGGAGTAGCCCTGGTCCAGCATGAGGCACTGAGGGCTGGGAGTAGTGCGCAGTCCACAAGGCAGAGATCGCTGGCTGGTGGGAGTATGGGCTTGGCGGGAAGGGGTGGACACACACATACACACACACACAGAGGCCAGCGTTTATTGACACTTGTTCAAGTCCCTCTGGCCCCCCAGGCTTCCTGGTCTTAATTCCTGGGGAAGGAGGCCCAGCCAAGGCAGTACAGGCTGTAGACAGAGCCTAGAAAGGGGAAGCGAGGGAGACAGAATGAGACCTAATCCCTTCCCTGGACATCCCGGGCTTTTAAGGCCTTCTTCAGACTCCGGAGTTCCCAGCCTGGACCCCAGCTCTAGTTTGGGCTGCAGCTCCCTTCCCAGATTGGACTCCTATTGTAAAGGCCCCTGGCGTTGATCTAGATCAGGCTGGGAGCTTCCTCCCCAACTCCTCCCTGGGCCTCAGTCCCATTACTAGCCCAGCCCCCATCCTGGGACACGAGCCCAAGCCCTATTACTCCCCTCCCTCCAGCTCAGTACTCCACCCCCTTCCTAAACGCCAACCCCCAACCCAGATCCTGGTCAGTCCTGGCCAGAAACCAGCTGCCTCCTACCCTGGGTCCAGCCCCGCCTCCCCGGCAGCTCGGCCGGGTTGTGCCCTGCGCTCACCTCCCAGACTCAGAGCCATTGTCACTCGGTATAGGATGTTGTCAATGAAGCCGCCCTTCAGGTACAATGGGATGTCATTGTCCTCCTGGATGTGGGGGTGTCTGATGAGAAGGGTGCCGGCTGCTCCCTTGAGGGCGCCCCGCCTGCCCCCTGCTCGGCGCTTCGGCGCGTCGGATCCCCCCACCCCCAGCCCCGCCCCGCCCACCTGGAAGAGCTTCTGTTTCTCGGGCACTCGGTTCTGGAAGCGGTTCCGGGCGGTGGAGCTGAAGGAGCGGATAAGTGCCCGGGAGACCTGCGGGGTGGGAGGTGGGCGGGTATTGGAGGCACCTGGAGGGGTGTCCTGAAGGGGGACCCCGCTCTCTGAGACCTGGACGTGGGGACAGCCCCATCCCTAGCGACCGTCCCAAAGGCGAGGAGGGTGATAACTTGGATTTTATTACCCGCGAACTGCCAGCCTGGGTGGGGAGGGGACTCGCCCTAGAGTCTGACCTGGAGGTGACCGGGCTGCCTAGAGGGTCCTGGAAGGGAGAGGACCCAGAAGGACTTTGTTCTGTGGGGTCTAAGTCCTGAGATTTTTGTCGGGGGAGGGTTTCCTGGATTAAAGGGAGGAAACCAGGTCCCGGGAACGTGGGGACCGGAATGGAGGTCCCGGGAGCGTCCAGGCTGCCTGAGAAGCCCTGGGTGAGGCCAGGATGTTACGTTTCCGTTTCCGGTGTTAAGGGTTCCCGAGATGTTAAGTTCAAACCCGGGGCTTTGGGCTGGAGTGGGGGTCCCCAGTTGTCTCTGAAGAGTGGATTGTGGGGGAGGGGACCCAGGTTGTTTAGCGGGGAGTCCCAGGCCCTGAAGGGGGCTCACGTTCCAAGGCCCCAGATGCGGGGGTACTTGGAGAGTCGTGTATTAGGGCGGGGTTTTCTGGGTGGGGGGCCCCGGCCCAGCCCGTGGGGGCCTCACCCGCAGGGCCTGCATTCTGCCTCGTCCTCTTCCGCCGGAGTCACCTCCCCTCTCCGCCCAAGGACACGCATGGCCCTCTCCTGTCCAGGAACTCCAGACCCCGCCCGCTGCGCGCAGCGTGACAGCTGGGGACGCGGCGGGGCTGGGGCTGGGGTGGGGGGAGTCCCGCTACTCGATTCGTCCACCGAGGAGGAAGCAGTCCAGACCCTCACCCCGGGCCGCAACGCGCACCCCTTTCGGTCTCGGAATTTCTGTTGGGACAGGAGCGGAAAGTGGTACCAGGGAATCCGTTTTTGTAGATTTTTGGAGATTTCCGGGGGGGCAAGTGCAACTCCTCCCTGGATCTCTCCCTGCCCGCTGGTATGTGAGAGTGAGGAGGGAAAGGCATAAGGCCGAGTTCCAACTTCCTGTTCTGTCTACACAGCCAGAGATTGCACCTTCGAGCCTGTTTCCGTATCTGTAATGTGAGGGCTAAGGCAGGATCTTTCTCGGAGATTTGTTGAAACGTTAAATGACCTTGTTTTTAGGAAACATAAGCTGAAGTCCTTGGGGGTGAAACGGTATTCTATGTTACCCTAAGAAACACATCATATGTATTTATAGCTCTCTAATTCTGGCAGGCAGCGGGGTGCGGCACAGTTGTCCTAATGGTTTTAGCAACCAGGAAAGATCCTGGCCTAGTCTAAAAGGTTTTCTTTTTTCTTCTTTTTTTTTTTTCTTTTCAGACAGGGTTTTGCTCTGTTGCACAGGCTGGAGTGCAGTGGTGTGATCATAGCTCACTGCAGCCTCGACCTCCTGGGTTCAGCGATCCTCCTGCCTCAGCCTCCTGAGTGGTTGGGACTTACAGGTGCATACCACCATGCCCAACTAATTTTTGTGTTTTTTGTAGAGGCTGGGTTTCACCATGTTGTCCAGGCTGGTCTCGAACTCCTGAGCATGAGAAATCCGCTAGCCTCGACGTCTCAAAGTGCTGGGATTACAGGCGTGAGCCACCGCACCCAGCCAATAGACAATGTTTGTTTGTTTTTGAGGCAGCGTCTTACAGTGTTGCCCAGGGTGGTCTCCAACTCCTCCAAGTAATGTTCCCGTGGTGGAATTAGAGGTGTGAGCCACTACACCCAGCTTCTAAAAGGTTTTTAACAATCTGTCTTATTTATTTATTTATTTATTTTAGACAGTCTTGCTCTGTTGCACACCTTGGAGTACAGTGGTATGACCTTGGCTCACTGAAACCGTCTGCCTCCCAGGTTTGGGCAATTTTTGTACCTCAGCCTCCAAAGTAGCTGGGATTACAGGCACCCGCCACCACACCTGGCTAATTTCTGTATTTTTTAGTAGAGACAGGGTTACACCATGTTGGCCAGGCTGGTCTCAAACTCCCGACCTCAGGTGATCTGCCCGCCTTGGCCTTCGAAAGTGCTGGGATTGGCCGGGCGCGGTGGCTCAAGCCTGTAATCCCAGCACTTTGGGAGGCCGAGATTGGCGATCAACGAGCAAGGAATGATCGAGACCATCTGGCTAACCACATTAGAAACCACACAGTCTCACAAAAAAATCACAGCCGGGCGAAAGGTAGACAAACAGCACATGTAGTAAAACCCACTCTCGGAAGAGCTGAGGCAGGAGAATTCGTAAACCCGGGAGGTGGAGCTGCAGTGAGCTGAGAATCCGGACCACTGCAGCTCCAGCCTGGCGACAGAGCCAGACTCCGATCCAAAACAAAAAAAAAAAAAAAGAAAGTGCTGATTACAAAGCACAAACACAAACCACTGTACCAGCCACAGTCTCTTCTTAAGAGGGGTATTTATAACTATTAATTCACTTTAACACTTCAACTATGCTTGTTATAATGTTAGTTTTCAATATAAGACACAACAATAATAGTAACTCCGGAAGCGCGGTGGCATCAAGCCTGTAATAGCCCAGCAACTCTTGGGAGCCGGAGATCAGGCGGAATCACGATCAGGAATCGAGACCATAAAACCTGGCTAACATGGTGAAACCCACGTCTCTACTAAAAATACAAACAAGCTGGCGAGGTGGCAGGGGCGCCTGTATCCAGAGCACTCAGAAGGCTGAGGCAGGAGAAGGCGAAAACCCGGGAGACGGAGCTTAGCATGGAGCTGAGATCCGGCCACTGCACTCCAGCCTGGGCGACAGAGCGAGACTTCCCGTCTCAAAAAAAAACAAAAAAAAACAAAAAAAAAAAAAAAAGAGCCACAAGTAGGGCCAGGTGTGGTGGCTCACGCCTGTAATCCTAGCACTTTGGGAGACCAAGGTAGGTGGATCACTTGAGGCTGAGAGTTCAAGACCAGCCTGGTCAACATGACAAAACCCTGTCTCTACTAAAAATACTAAAATTAGCCAGGTGTAGTCCCGGGTGCCTGTAATCCCAGCTACTTGGGAGGCTGAGGCACAAAAATCGTTTGAAAACAAGAGGCAGAGGCTGCAGTGAGCCAAGATTGCACCACTATATTCCAGCTTGGGTGACAGAGTGAGATTCTGTCTCAGAAAAAAAAAAAAAAAAAAAAGCCAAAGTAGGCTGACTTACCAGATGAACAGATGACTCTTCAATTCTTAAATAACTTTTATGAATCAAAAATTCATAAACTGTACATAAACAGATTTCAAGTAAGTCTTAGTCACCAACTGAATTCCACATTTTACAATGGAATTACAAGATTGACCTGTCGTTTGAATAGGCCAGTTTGCCTTAAATATTACAGATTCTTAAAATACCAAGTATCCACAGATTCTCTAACACAAAGTTAATACCACGGGGGCCGGGCGCAGTGGCTCACGCCTGTAATCCCAACACTTAGGGAGGCCAAAGCAGGTGGATCACCTGAGGTCAGGTGTTCAAGACCAGCCTGGCCAACATGGCAAAACCCTGTCTCTATTAAAAATACAAAAATTAGCCAAGCGGGTGCCTGTAATCCC